GTCTGTGTTAATTGGTTTCCCTTTTCTTTGTTGAAGAGCGTCTGTGCAGTCCTTTTGCCTAGTCCACCATCTTGCCGGAACTCTAAAATTATTCTTAAGCTTAAGGAGTGTACAGACTGAATTAGGCCCCTGGCTATAGTTTGTCAACCATTGTGCTCATAAAGTCTTATAAAAGTATTCATGGAGGCAATATTCCATGAGTTCTTGTATATTTTTGTTTTTATACTTGAAAGTCACCTTTGCTGGATATAAAATCCTAGGCTCACATTTTCTTGTGTGTTTTAAATATGTTGCTTTATTTTCTTCTGGCATGAAACACTGCAGGTAAAATCTGACGATAATATAATTTTATTTTTCCTACAAGTCATTTGCTGTTTTTGCCTAGCTGCCCAAAGGATATTTTATTTTTCTTTACAGTCCAGCTGGTATTGGTCATTTTGAGTTGACATTCTTAGATATGGAGCTCTGGTGGCGTAGCTTAAGGCATCTGACTGCTAACCAGAAGGCTGGAGGTTCAAACTCACCAGCCACTCCTCAGAAGGAAGATTAGGCCATATACTTCCGTAGAGATAACTGCCTCAGAAACCAAAGGAGCGGTCACTATGAGTCAGAATTGACTCAATGCCAGTGAGGTTTCTTTTTTTCTTTTGGTATTCTTAGGTATGTACTGTTTTTTCAATATAGAGTTTCAACTATTTTGAGGAACGTTTTCTTGGTTTATAGTTTTTAGTCCTTGTTCAGGAGCTCTGGTGGTAGTGGTTAAAGCATTCAGCTGCTAGCCAGAAGGTTGGTAGTTCAAACCCACTTTGAATTTGTTTTCAGCTACAACAACTCATATTAACCATATGTTGGATCTTCAGTGTTTGCCCCTTTCTCTTAAATCCTTTATCATTTCTTTTTTATTATTTCTAATTATTTTCCTATTGCCTCAATTCTGTGTTTTCTAGTCTAATTTATGCTCTTCTTTCATTTTCTTAGGGACTTAGCTAATTTTAAAAGATAAATTTTTTATTTTTTACGTAGGCATGTCTTTCTGTTATCATTATTTGCTGAATTACTATTATGAATATTGATAATATATTGACTAATGAATATTATTATGTTATTCTCTTCCTTATCATCTTTATGTGAAATTGGATTTGCTAAATTTTTAGAAGGAAGTGTGGTTCAGTATAGTTTTTATGACTTCAGATAACTCTTAAAAGTTTAGTATTCCATTGGACTATACCACCCTGTTTATCACTTTAATTTCTACAAGGTACTTAATAAGAATCCCAAAGCCCACTTTGGGAAAGATACGATGTCATATAAGGGAATGTAGAATGATCTTGTTAAAACTGAACTACATCAAGGTAGTAGTTCACCTGGAGACTCGACAGATGTCAAATAACAGTTTATTCCCAGTTTTAAAATAATCCCACAGTGTCCCTATAATTAAGTTTGCTGTGGTATCCTGGAATACTTTAGCACACAGTTTGGGGTTACGATTCCAGGTGATGACGATGTTCCTGATTGTAGAACCACATTGAGAATCCCTAGGATATTTAATAAGAACTCTGGTGGCACAGTTCCTAAGGAATTTGACTGCTAACCAGAAAGCTGGCAGTTCAAACCCACCAGCCACTCCTCCGAAGGAAGATTGGGCAATCTAGTTCTGTAGAGATACCACCTCAGAAACCCAAGGAGGGGTGGCTATGTGTTGGACCCAACTTTTTCTTTTCTTTTTTAGAAAAAACTAGAAGAGCAAGAAGAAAGACTTTGAAAGTTCTATTGCCAGCTGGGAATACAATTTCTTCCTCTAGAGCCACATAGTCACAGAGGCAGGCACATCAGTTAGATTCAATTGAATACATTGAAATCAAAGAGTTTGGAAGTATGTGTATGAAATTGCTTGTATATACACATATATTTGAATGTATGTTGGAAAAATTGGTATGTTACTTTGTCTTAGTTCCCTTACTGAAGAAAAAAGAAAACAATACAGAGCATACTTACATACTTGTTGACCTTGATGTTCAAGAACATTTGGTGATGAATACTTGAATTTACTTTTGTGACCTGCAACAGTGAATTTGATTGCCTGCCAGTTTCTGACATGGTCAGTCAGCTTGTCAACATATTTTATAAAGAAAACTTTGTTATCTTTCAAGAGAAAACAAGGATATAACATGGTAGGGAAATCGAGATTGTTTGGTCCCAGGATTCATCATATACAGATCTTGCCAGAGTTGGAGATTGCTCCAAGTAAAACTTACCCCAAATTTATATTTTAATGAAAAGAAAGCATGGTTGACCTCAAAAAAGACCAGTCAACTGCTTACAAGTGATCTGACATGTACTTTTCTAGTTAGTTGAAGATTGTGCTCCATTCTCCTCAGTGAGTTATAATTAATCTGTGGGGTAAAAAGCAAAGCACTGGAAAATGCTCTTGAAGACAATGTGACTGGTACTTCATGCAGCTTTCCTCACATCTTTTTCCAGGATATCAGGAAACAAGGGGTAACTCATAAGAAATTGGTGTCTTGAGTGGAAACTTGCTAGGTGAACTGTGTTGTGCCCCTTTCCCAATTTTAAAAAATTGAGCAGTTGATCTAAAGATCATAGAGACTATATTTTGCTCAATGATGTTGAGTTCTATAGAAAATCAGAGCCCTGATTTACAGTTAAGAGAAATGGAGTATGGATCCAGTCCAGCCATCACTTCCCACAACAGAAGGCTCTGTATAGAGGACACGGCTAGAGCAGCAGATTGCTATAACCTCATCTCTGCTTCAGGATTAACACAGGCTTTCTAACATTTGGCTTCAAATTCCTTTAAAGATCTATGGAAAAGGAATGTATACTCTCTTTGGTCATGCTTTCAAAAGACTAAGTCTCTAAATCATAAAGACAGTCCTAGAAGAAGCCATAAAGATCAGAGTGTTTCTCTCTTAGAAGAATTTGTTATCTTAAGTCATCAAAGGACAGTTTTAACAGTAGTATAGCCCTCCTTGGGTTTCCAAGGTGGTATCTCTACAGAAGTAGATTGCCCAGTCTTCCTTCCAAGGAGTAGCTGGTGGGTTTGAACCCCCAGACTTCTGATTAGCAGTCAAATGCCCTAGGCACTGTGCCACCAGAGCTCCTAGTAGGAGGCTAGAACCTGCAAATTCCTTTAATCCATCTCTGCAGAAATGACTTTATACGTGAACATGGCAGCATTGCCCTAAATTGAGCTCCCAGCTTCTATGGGCAGTAAATCTTTGTCAGTACAGATGAGAACAGAAGAAAGGGCCGGAAAAGGAGCTGAGTGTGTAATTGTGCTTTCCTCTTCTATAGTGTATTCCATGGGAAACGGTCCAAGCAGACTCTATAGTGCTCTTGCCAAGACACTGAACAGCAGCGCTGCCTCCCAGCACCCAGAGTATTTGGTATCACCTGACTCAGAACATCTGGAACCCATTGATCCTAAAGAGCTCCTTGAGGAATGCAGGGCTGTTCTGCACACCCGACCTCCCCGGTTCCAGAGGGACTTTGTGAATCTGAGGACAGATTGCCCCAGTAGTCACCCACCTATTAGGGTCATGCAGTGGAACATCCTCGCCCAAGGTATGCCTAATGCTTTGTGCTGAAGCGGTGGTTTTCTTTGACTTCCTTCCTGCTTTTGCACATGTCTGATGCACTGATGTCTCAGGTGGATGGAAGAAGTGTGGGCAGATGGAGGTGTAGGATGATGGGGTGACAAAGGCAGCAAGAAGAGCTCTCAGAAAGGGAGTCATTTGATTTTCAATAATTAAGCTAGCAACTGAAGCTTGAGTCTTTACCTTCCATGTTTGTGGCTGCCAAGTACAGTGAAAGTCTGTTTATGTTACTTCCCAAAAGATCCAAATTTAAATGATCCTTTTATTACTCAATTAAATAGAACAGCCTCAAACTTTCTGTTATCTCCAGCTTTCAGTCCATAGCACTAAGACAGCATTCTTGCAGGGGAATCACTGAGTCAGCTAAATGGGTGACATGTAAAACATTCTGCAGGGAGTGGGAGCTGTGATTGGGTGGTGGTAAGTCTGGTTATTCTTGCAGCCAGATTCTTATCCATATACATCTATATAATGTGAAGGCCAATGCTCTGTAAAGTGGGAGAATATGTGAAAATGTTCTGCTTTCCCTTATAAAGTAACCATTAATACTTATAGTCAAAAGGATTCTTTTCTTGGATCTGCTGAATCAAAAAACAGATAAACTGTGTAGTATTGCCTTGTATGTGGCAGTTGAAATTTTAAGGGGAAAAAAGGGGCCTTTTATTGCTAGAAAAGAAGGGAATATTCCCCAACTTTTCAATCTGATTCTTTTATTTTTCCAGCTGTTCATCTATAAGAGACGCTTTCTATATTAAGTAGGTTCCATTCATTCTGAGTGGTGTCTACTTTGTATCAGTTCATTCTGTCTTTGAATTACTTTATTGTCATTAGTGTTAAAATAAATATATTTAGCTCATTTGGTATAGTTTAGGCCCCTGGGGCTGCAAAGAACCATTTTCTTAATTAAGGCAAAAACTCAAGATCTTATGACTGAAATATAGTTATATGAAATAGCTTTAATATAAAGAAAATCAATTGCTTGCTTTATCCAGATGCTAAGAGTTATTTAGTTTGGGTGGGTCAATGCAGTTTAGACAGAGAAGAGCTACAGAAAGCATCTGACACAGAGGAAACATGGTGAGGGTGTTGAGTGCTGTCAACCTAAGGAGACTCCCAGGTCCTTTGAAGTCATTTTTCTGTAGTAGATGACAACTGACTGGCTTTTGTATTTCAGCTCTAGGAGAAGGCAAAGACAACTTTGTACAATGCCCTGTTGAAGCACTCAAGTGGGAAGAGAGGAAATGTCTCATCTTAGAAGAAATTCTAGCCTACCAGCCTGATATATTGTGTCTCCAAGAGGTGGACCACTATTTTGACACTTTCCAACCACTCCTCAGTAGACTGGGCTACCAAGGCACTTTTTTCCCCAAGCCCTGGTCACCCTGTCTAGACGTAGAACACAACAATGGGCCAGATGGCTGTGCCTTGTTTTTTCTCCAAAACCGGTTCAAGCTAGTTAACAGTGCCAATATCAGGCTGACAGCCATGACACTGAAAACCAACCAAGTGGCCATTGCACAGACCTTAGAGTGCAGAGAGTCAGGTCGCCAGTTCTGTATCGCTGTCACCCACTTAAAAGCACGCACTGGCTGGGAGCGGTTTCGATCTGCTCAAGGCTGTGACCTTCTCCAGAACCTACAGAACATCACTAAAGGAGCCAAGATTCCCCTTATTATTTGTGGGGACTTCAATGCAGAGCCAACAGAGGAGGTCTACAAACACTTTGCTTCTTCCAGCCTCAACCTAAACAGCGCCTACAAGCTGCTGAGTGCTGATGGGCAGTCCGAGCCTCCTTATACTACCTGGAAGATCCGGACCTCGGGGGAGTGCCGGCACACCCTGGATTATATCTGGTATTCTAAATATGCTCTAAATGTGAGGTCAGCTCTTGATTTGCTGACTGAAGAACAGATTGGACCCAACCGACTACCATCTTTCAATTATCCTTCAGACCACCTGTCTCTAGTGTGTGACTTCAGCTTTACTGAGGGACCGGAAGGACTTTTATAAGTACTTGTCTCTTTGTAATCACAAGAGTCTTAACTAGGGATGTTCCACGTTAAGTTGCCTGAGGAATGATTCCCAGTTTCTCTGACTTCATGTTTCCAGCATGCACTTGGGAAGGCATCCCATTAGTTCACTAACTTTTTCTATTAAAACCTACAGTGAAAAAGGTGTTTGCACTCCAGTTTTGGCTTGTATTGTTTTCTTTCTCTTAGTATTACATTTTGATATTTCAAGGGCATTATAACATCTCAGACTTGCTTGAGTCTTCCATAACTAACAAGAGGTATGTGGGAGCAATTTCTCTAGACAGTATTTCAAGTTATTTATTTGTGGATTTTTAAATGTCAACAAAAGTTATGCACGGCAGTATTTATTTATTTTTTTTATATTTTCATGTAAAGTTAATAAATTGTGGCAATATGAACATTTGAGAACCATGCAAAATACAAGTTATAGAGAATAATTTATAGTTACTTTCTTCAAGCTTTAAAATGTTTACATCATCTGGGATCTAACAAAATAGTGGTATACAAAGGAACTATTTCCTAGGTGGCTTTTTGTGTGTTTATTTAGGTGGAAGTAGCAAGTCTCCAGTCCAGATACATTGTTCACACACAGTATTTGTTATGGCTCCATGTTCCCCATCATTGTGTTTCTTGAAGAGATTCCATGGTCTTCATTATTTAATCACTACTCTGCATTTATACTGTTCCATTGGTGTACATGTGAAGTCACTCAGTCATTATTGTTTGTACTGGAATATACATTTCACAATAGGTTAGGAGATGTTATGTGGCAGTAGCTAAGAATGTCAGTGGGACCTTCTTTTCAGAGATGGGAAACTAGAAAGCCTTTTAATAGGGCAGTCATTGAAATTTCCTAAGACAGTTAGATAGTGTCTGGTTTAGATCTCTAGAAAGACAAGTTAGATGGAAAGATAACCTGGATTTCTCTCTTATCAGAAATAAAAGTAGTAAAGATAACAGGTGAAACTGCTTTCCAAAAAATAAAAATAACTTATTGGTGATAAATTCATAAATATTTTAATCCATGACTTGTAAATACTAAAGATTAATAAATGGTCTTTTAAAGCTAATACTTGTAATATTTTTGTCTTTTTAGCCCCCCAAAGTATCTGGGTGTAGACTTGATCTTTTGACACTACACACTATCCATTTTTAAAATGGACAAAGGTGGGTCTACAGCTACACATTGAAGGCGTCTATCCTGTGCTTATATGGTATCTCTCAGCACCAAACTTGGAGTTCTGTAAAAAAATGAGTCCACTCAAATATTCTGTGTTGGAACTGCTTCTGGAAACAAATGAGGTTTTCAGTATATTGTATATATAAAATTGGGGGGCTACCTGGAAGGAATGGGAAGTAGTTAGGTATCTATACCAATTGTTGTAATGGCTCAAATTTTAGCATGATTAATGGTAATCATCACTGAGGAGAAGAATACTGATTAGAATTCTAATTAGGCAGGCATTAAATACTGTTTGCCTGCCTCCAAAATCTACTAGCCTGAAGATGAAGTATCATAAGAGCCTTAACCCAGTAAATCTGGCTAAGAATTGAAAGCCAAAATTATGTTTGAATTTCATGCATCGTCCACCAATATATGTGAATGGGGTATATAGGTTGAAGGTGGGATTAGGGGTGGTTGGGAATGCCATTTAGCAAATAAAAGACTTCTGTAGATAATGTGATTGAGATGTGACTATAAATTCTTAGCATTAAGAAAAAAAAAGCCACAATGGAATTCTCCTTCTGAGGTTATCATGTTTGTTAGCTGCCACTGAGTTGGTTCACATCCCATGCACAATGGGATGGGACTGATTGATTGGGTTTTCATTGGCTGATTTTTGGAAGTAGATCACCAGGCCTTTTTTCCTAGTCCTTCTTAGTCTGGAAGCTCCACTAAAAACTGTTCTACATCATAGCAACATTCAAGTCTCCACTGACAAAAGATGGGTGGTGGCAGCACTTGAGGTGCGCTCGCCAGAAATTGAAAATTGAACCCAGGTGTCCCTCATTTCTGACAGGCAAGAATTCTGCCACTGAACTACCACTGTCTCCTGCCCAAAGTCATCACAGTAAGAGACCACTTATTTCAATGATGCTTTTGCATTTATCTTTGTTTAAAATCTAATGTGAACAGTCTGTGTAAACAGTAAGACTTTTTAGCAGTATATAAATCTTGTTAGGTTTCCCTTCATGTTTTTCTAAGTCTTTTTTTGTAGCTTTGCCTTATGTACTATTAGAATAACCTGAAGCCATTACAGTAAGTAACAAATCTGTACTACTTGGGACCAAGTATGAACTCTAGATATTTAAGTATGTTCCATGCATAGATCCCTATGTAACTTTCAGTTCATCTTTCTTTCATATCCCATATTTTGATGGATTTTTTACAAGAGTCTTAAGTTGTGCAGATTTGAAGAGGGGCCATGAATTTGTTCTTATTTTATGCCAGCTTTCAACAAATTCCATTCTACATAGTGGTAGAGAAAACAGTCTCATTTAGGCAAATACATTATGGTATATACATTGGAAAAAACTTAAAAGAGTTCCTTATCTTTGACTCTTAGAGCTTTACTAAGATTTTACAACTACTCTTAATTTATAGGTAGGGTCTCAAAAATAAAATAATTTGACCAAAGTGACAGCTAATAGTAAGAGTCAGGATTCAAAATCAGGTCTGTCTGAACTCCAGTGTGTGTGCGCTATGTTTCCACCAACATGTTCTTTTGGCTGTGAGTGAGTACACATGAGAAGGAATGTGACATTGTGGGGAAGAGATGTGTTCATTTATAAATGGTAATTCAAGCACATCAAATTTGACCCATGTCAGATATTTTCCTAATACACATACAATGTTGGAATAGAATCAATATAGAATGGCTGAACGATTAAATTTTAGTTATCCTAATATAGTGAAATCTTAGTTTTGCAAAAGTGTAACATCTCATACTGCCCATACTTTGAAGGTAGCTTTTAAAAGCAACAAGGAGAGCAGCTACTTTGTGTTGTTTCATAATAAAAGAAGAAATTGATGCAAACATTCTGCATTCGAACCATTTTTTTTAAAAAATGCAAGATTTATAATAAGGAAGTGCTGGATATAATTGGTGTTTTAAACTTGAGAAATTATTTCCAAGATTTTTTTCTTTTTAAAGGGAGATAAAAATACATGCCCATAATCATAGTTGATTTCAATTTTAGAAAAGCATCCAAAAAAATGAATGTGCTTGCATAAGTCCAGTGAACTTTTTTTTCCAATGACTTGTATAAAAATATGGCAGAGGCAGGCTTTTTATCCAGAATGAATGGACATCAGAATGGCAAAGGCCTGAGAGGGTTGGGCTTACAAAATAAGGAAAGGGAGGTTAGGGGACATGTAGAAGAGCACAGGTTTGTTAGAAAAAAGGCTTAGGTGTGACTAGTATATCTTGACCAAGTCACTCCAACTCCAGGGCCTGTTTTTCTCATCATCATACGTACCTGCCTTGTCAATCTGTGAAATGTCTGTAAAATAATGTAAACTGTAACAATATATACATGTAAGCTGTTGAACAGGATAAAATATGCATGGATGTCATAGCATCCCATCCCTAATGTTTTTTAGCCAAACAAGATAATTCTCCAAAAGGAAAGGGTGGAACTAATAGTGTTAATAGAAAATTACCCCCCCAAATAGGTGAAGGCTTGATAAAATGCTAAGAACTACTTCCTCCGTTCTTCCAAACAGTTATTTGTGGGTTAGTAGATGCCTTGATTTCACGAGGATGTCAATCCAACTTTGATTTATATACAGACATGCCTTTCAGCTACTTCAGACCCTTGTTTCACAAATTTTTGTGGAAAACTCACTTCTTAGAAGATTCATTTAAGATTAGACATGCAGACAAGCCATTCCTCTGGACATTATACTAGGCAAAGCTTTGTTGTTTCTAAGCGCTAGACTATTTGAACCTTATATCTAATCAATACATATACATGCTTGCTTTGGATGCCAAGACATTCAAAACCAAATACTACAGCTGAATTTTAATTAGGTAAAGTTTTACAGCATGTATTTTGTGTTTTAATTTTCTTTTTCGCCATGGTATCTTTTTTTCTTTGCCTAATTTTCTTTTACCTATTTTTCTTCACTTTCCTTCATTTGTGTATTATAAAACTATCTGGGATTCTTTTGAGGATAAAACACAGTATTAATCTATCTTGCCACATTCAATTTAGGCACCTGGATTTTGACAACTTACGTACAAGAATGTGGAAATAAATTTAGTGTCCTGTATGTATAATGTTGAAAAACACCCATCAAGAAACATGATGGAAGAATAGACACAGGGACCATGTCTGGCATTTGATTTTGGTTTCCAGAGATAGATAAACTTGAAGAGAACACACAGCAAAATTGTACAACATTTTAAAATTTAGTTTGCAAGACAATAAGGATTACTATATAAAGGCATGTAAGGACATATTGTCTGCACTCCACCCCCCCTCCTTTTTTTTTTTTTTTTCCAGATGGGTGTGAGTCAGGGTCAAGGCTAAAACTTTAACCTGGGCGCCAGAAGATCTATTTCTTGGTCTTCCACTGACAAACTGCACAAAGACTGGGAAATCAAAAGTTTTCCTAAACCTGTTTTTTCATTTGTAGTAAGAGTATAGACCAAATAATTTCTAAGGTTTCTTAAAGCTTTAAAATTCTGGTTTGAACTTTAAAACAATTTCAGTACTGCTGCCACTGTTCAAAAATATTTTTGGAACTGCCTTCATAGCAAGTTTTATGAAGCTCTCAGGAAAACTAGTGTGAACTTTATAGTCACATTTCACTTTGAACCAAATATGGCATTGCCTGCAGCTTGACTCAAATCAATCTGTTAACCTCAAATGACTTAGCTGTTTCTAAAATGAAAATCTTCCTCATCAACCAGGAAATTTGCCTCTATTAAATACATTTAAAATTCAGATTCTGTTCCAAGAAGCAATTCAGTATTATTCTGAACAATGGCAGTATTGTTG